TCGATTAGATAAGGAAACAATTCGGTGTCTGGGTCCTCCATGCACTGACATAGACGCTGCAAAATGAACAAGGCAATGTTCTGATCTTTAGGAATGGTCCAGTCCGGCATATGGCCTTGGGCCATAAGGAATTCATCCAGAAAACTTCTAAATGGCGCGAGTTGTTCCATCGAAAACGGAGGAAACTCCGATCGGGTGGCAAAAGACTAAGGATTACTTTATCAAGTCTATTATCCATGATATGGGAGAAAAAATTTTGCCTGAGAGTTTTAAAGCAGTCTTCATAGGAATGCTGCGCGCTCCAGTCCGCTTTGGAGGCAAAACCGCCCCCATCCTGCCTGGGAAAAGGTGGATCCGCAAGGGATTTCACTGGCAAATATTGGTCCAAATGGGAAAGTGCAATAGAAATGCCATTGGTTGTAAGCAATGGAAGAATCAGCTCTGCCAACTTTTCAGCCAACAAAGGTGGATACTGGGCAGTATCCCTACTAAGGAAATGTCCTTCAGGTGAAAGGGCGCCTGCAATTTGTTGATGAGTGCCCTTCGGATGGGGACAAGACCACGCAAGTTTCTCAATGTCAGAAAATGTAGAGGCTAACATCCATGTCTTGCTCCAATCTCTGCCATAACCACAAGCGGCAATGGAAACGCAACTACAGGCCTCCTGCTGGAGGTATTGTTGGACCACTGGCTCTTGCCAGCTCATAGCCGAAGACGGCTGTTCCAGGTGACCATGGCCACCAGAAGATGATACCAGTCTGATACAAATTATACACCGTTCTAACATGATGTTACTTTCCTGGACACGCAACAACTGCGCGCTCGTGAGGTCAGGACGACCTTGCAAAAACTCTGGAGTTCTCAAAGCTGGAGGTCCACCTGGTTTCAGCTTGAGACGAGAATATTCGCAACAGCTAGGAGATGCCCCAGCATAGGCCACGATTCCTGAAGCACAAACTCGAAGTAAGCTCTCGTAGCACTGGTTGTCCAGCAAATCATCCGTTGAATGGATGAGGATATCAAACTGCAAAATATCCCCTGAAAGCTGCCTCACCGCTGCTGACAAGGGGGCATGGAGCCCGCAACAAATATCAAGAAAAATTATGTATTGATGAGGCGGTCGATGATGAAATGCAGTTGATGGTACTGATCTCGGTATGGATTCACCTGGGACAGTCGGTGGAGTCGAATCCAAACTTGTCAACCTCATTATCATGCAAATGTGACACTTCATGCAAACTGTTGTCTTGGACAACTTGTGAAACTAACGCTGGTGATGTGACTGGATCCTGTCCACGTGAAATCTGTATCAATGAGGCGTCACCTGTAGTATCGAAAGCATCCATACCAAGTCAGTGTGGAGTCTTCTCGTGAACCAATGCTCCGTGATTTTTTCCACAAGCACTGTCGCCAACTGGATAGGCACATCCATGATGAAACTTGCAATCGTCATTGAGGGTGCATTTGCCGGATTGGAATCTCATGCACAGCTGTTTCTTGTCACCCTTGACGACCATCTCTGTGAGCCATTGCACCCGATTGGATTTTCCTTTGGATTTTCCCTTGGAAGTTCCTTTGGTATATGGTCCTGGTCGGGACCCTTGTGCCTTGTGATTGGCCCTTTCCCGAAGAAAAATCCGGACGTAGGGCAACCGCCGGCTTAGGTAATTTCGGCCTAGGTTGCAGCAACGAGGTGAGATCTGCACGAATGTGTGTAACTTCATATAGTGCATCGTCCCACGTCCAAGATCTCTCCATAACAAGGTCAATGGCTGTGGTCATCAGGGCCTTGTCGGCCACCTGAGCCTCCAAAATGGTCGGCCCTCTCAACCCGGTGTCCGCGTCAAATTTCTGTGTCATCAAAGACAGGAACTTCAGGTAGTAGGCTTTGAGAGATGAAAGATGACAAACTTCCGCCATGGCCATGGCAAATGCAAATGTTTCGAACATCTGTCGAAGAGCATGAAGACCAAGCCCACCGTTCGAGATCTCCATCGCAGGGGGCTCATCCATTAAAATGGAATGGAGCTGGATACCTTCAGCTCGAGCCATCTTTGACGACTTGGACGATGTCAGCTCGTCACATTTCGCTGATGTGAGTCTATACTTCCAGGGAATCCATTTAAAATCTTGCTTGTTCTTCTGATGGACTACCATAGACAGAAGTCGAAGGCTTGGCAAATTCTCCGGCAAAAGGACTTCTGCCGGGTAATTCTTCTTGAAAGCCGCCTTAATCTGGCTGACGTTCGCTGACGTGAGCTTCGGTGCAAATGTCTCTGACCATGATCCAGCCAATGGTTGAGCTGCCACTTCCGGGCTGGCCATTGCTGGTGTGGGAGCCACTGCGCCCTGATTGGATGATGACTGACATCTCTTCCATGCAAGCCGCAAAGAAGCCTTGTGAAGAGGACTCAGACTAGTGTCAAAAAGGTCCGTCATGACTGCATCGAAATCTTCCAGTGAAGTGGCACACAAGGCAAAATGCTCTGTGGTCCATCCATCATCCAACAATTGATCCACCTTTTGTGGGGGAACCTGTGCTGCAACCAGGATGTCAAAAAAGCTCATGGCTGGCAGGCCAACTACGCTCAGAAACCCTGGAATTACAAAGTTGATAGAATTCCAAATGTTGTCAAACACCTAAATTCGTCCGATTACAATGTTTGGAAAAGCCGCTCTGATACCTGAAACAACTTGCATCAAAACTGAAGAAGCGATATTGATGTCACATCTTGTGAACGCTGTGATGATGTTGGGATGCATGTGGTGAGATCAAACTCCCACCTACAAGCTGAGCCCGTCCACACGAGATGGGCAAATGATTGGAAAAGCTTGACGCAAGAGACGCTGGTCTCAACACCAATTGGATGCCCTTGCATCCATATGGATGTGTAAACGCATGATAAATGATCAAGTGAAATTAAACGCTGAAATATGAAAGCACATGCTGGTAAATCAACGCCAACGATGCAAAATCAACAATGACATCAATTGAAGCAGGTCTGACCTCAACAAATGTTGCTCAAATAAGACGCATCAATCACCACCAATATGATGTGAAGCTCCACACATGTGGAATACAACTGGGTTCCAAACCGAAACCACGCGCTGCTGCCACAGCTTCTTTTTTGAAAGCTCGAATCGCAATCACTGCAGTGAAACTGAACAAAATGTCTTCAACATTTGTTGCCACTCAAACGCATCATGCACATGCAGTTGAAACTGACAGCTGTTAGGCCCCGACGGAAGTCCAACCCTTGCGGCAGCCCGAATGGCCGCACAAGCTCTGAGTTCCACTCAATTGCAACTCCTGCACTGCTAAAAGTTTGCTCACCTCGAAATGGCGGCCGCATGCTGTCTGAATGACTTCTTTGTCACAACGCATAAATTGGGAAAGCATAACATGCCATGTATTGCGATGAAGAGCCCCCACAACCTCATCAGCCATCTCCACCTCAGTTTTCTTGGTGGGCTTTGCTGAAGGCTTGGATGCCGATGAGCTGGACGAGCTGTCACTCTCACCTGAGTCGGATGAGGAGGAAGCTTCCACTTCCTCAATGCCTGCAGCTGGAAGTGCAGGGCCTTGTTCAGGCAAAGCAAATTTCTGTCCATGAAATTGCAAGAAACCCCAAGAGTGATCTGCTGCCGTCTTGTTGTATTTTTCCAATGAAAAATCCGGCTCTATCAGAGGAATTTGTCCACCCCTGGAGAGTGGTGTAACTGGTCTCCATCCACCATGAATTGCCTGAATAATCGAATGTTGTAGCTTGATCGCTCCGTGAACATCATCCCGACTGTAAAGTCTTGTAGATGAATTTCGAGCCTGATGCTTCCCTTGCAGTCGCTTGTGGTCATCTGACAAATCCAGTTGTGTGGCCCAGGAAATCAATGTTGATTTGAGTCCATGGATCGTATACGAACTCGGTGAAGCTCCTACTGATAGAGGTTTTTGATTCCATGGAAGGGACAGAAATCTGCGCAGAAAGTACAGTCCCTCTGCGTAGCTCATGGGCTGCAGCGGAACACGCAGACCGCTGGGTTCAATGCTTGGCAACAAAAAGTCAATGTCCGTTGACCCATAATTTGTCAACACCTCGTCCAAGGTTATCAAAAATTTATATAACCAGTTGTATGTCCCAATTGACAGGAAACCAGCTGCCACAGCCCCGAACGGGGTTCCTGCTGACGATGTCTTGGTACGCCAGGCCAATCCTCTGAGGATAGCACCATCCCATTGCAAAGATGTAGGTGCAGTACGTTGTAAGTCCGCAAATCTCAGTCCTGAGAAAAGGAGCAGCAAGAAAGCCCCCAGAATCAAAATTTCATCTTGTGAAGTTTCCCGCACCAAGATATGTCGTTCAAATTGTGATAAGATGTACAAGCTGAAAGGCAAACTTTCACGCCTGTCATGGGGAATGTTCGTTTGAAACGAGTTCAGCAATGACCCAAAGGCCACCCCAAAAGCTTGAATCTGCAACTGTTTGTATCCCCATCTCAAAGCTTTAATCATCATTGACACTGATGAAGTTGAATCCGACGAATGTCTGGATAAGTGCCCCGCCACCAGAATGTCCGCAAGGTTCATTTCAGTAAGCCCTTCTAATTGAAGTCTCAAGTCCACCAAAAGTGCATGAAAATTCTGAAGTGCAGAGCAATACTTGATCAATGTTGAAGCCGCAAAATTGTTGACCAGTCTCTCGTAATGCTGTGTGCGATACGCACTAGCTTGCAACTGCTCCAACAAGGGAGAAAATGCTGTATACAAAGAAACCACAGAATTCCACAATGACATCACCAATGGTGAATTCGATGCTTGTCGAACCCTAGTGATGTCAGAAGATCCAGGTCCCGACAGGAACTTCGCAACACATGTACGACCTGACAATTTCCTGGCTTTGACAGTGGCATCACAACATCAATAGAATCCTCCGTTGATAGTCCCTGGCATGTTGCAATTGCAAACTACGTGGAATACAGTACTGCATTGAACATCTGGTGATTGCAATCCAGTTGAACGCTCCACTTGAGGCGCAAAACTTGGTTGAGGATGCGACGGGGCTGCAAGCCCTCCAAACTGCAGTGTAATGGAAGCCCTTGACTGTACCCTAGAAACCGACAATCATGTCTGAAGTGTAGAGTGTGGAGTGTAGAGTGTAAAGTGTAGAGTGTAAAGTGTAGAGTGTGGAGTGTGGAGTGCAAAGTGTAGAGTGTGGAGTGCGGAGTCTGGAATATAAAGTGTAGAGTGTGGAGTGTAAAGTGTGGAGTGTAGAGTGTGGAGTGAGGAGTCTAAAGTTTTTTTGTTCGGACAACCGTTTATGCTCTGAGGCACGGTCCTCTGAACTTCAATCTTACTCGTGGACTAGCGGAGTGTCGAACCACCACCGACAGTCTGTCAGCACCGTCAAGAACGACGCGACACCAACTGCGTCACGAGGACGACTAACGAGCGTGATTAAGGGTGCAAAAAATCTGTACAAATTTGGATCGGTTGAGCCTCGTCAGAGTCCTTCCGGGAATGCTTTACGAGGAGCATCACATGACATGCGAACCATTCGCCATGCAATGGACTTTATCCCTGGTAGCTCAGCGGAGGATACAAAGCAGGTAAAACACAAGGGCCCTTCAAGGGCCTTCGTACGCATTAAAGAATGGCGCAGGCGACGTCTTCGCACAGCCAAACTATCCAGCTACTGAGTCTCATTGAGAAGGAAACTCCAAGACGTCCTTTAAGTTTTTTTTCCGCCAGTCGCCTCTTGGCTTTCGCCAGGTCGATCCACACGCTCTATTGGTATGCAACATGTTCCATTAATTTCCAAAACGCTCCTTTAAGTGTAAGAAATGTGGAAGACTGGACATCTTGCAAAATGTAAGAACCGAGCCACAGTGCGACATCGGCCAAACTCGAGGAAAAAAAAAAGACTGGACATCTTGCAAAACATTGCTGCAGAAAGATCCAACGGCCGTGGCAAACGCGAGTGCTTGTCAATGGTGCACAGGGTAGAAGACTCCTTTTGAAGAAATTGAAACTTTCAAGTGGGTACGTCCCAGCAGTGCATTCTGGGCCAGCAGAATCCCATCCAAAATGAATTCCAGCAACATTGCAAGCGAAACTAACTCCCTTAAAATTTTCCGTGATGGTACACAATTCCAAAACAAAGTTTCAACCTCGACTCCAAAGCACAAACGTCAGCTTCAATTTTTACTCGGACGCAACACAGGGGAGTCAGGACTCAAGAGAGGAGAAACAACAAGGTTCCACGACCGGCAACAAAAGCAGCCGAACCAGCCGAATGCTTGCTACAGTTCTTTATGGCATCATGACTCCCAGTAAAACGAACAAGAACAAGACGACAAAGCGGCAGACGACCCGGTCGTTTCGCCCGGGAATCAAAAGAAAACAACACAAAACGGAGCCAGGCCCAACACCAAACAAAACCAATGATTTGCCACACGACACAAAGGGAATTTCCCACTGTGTCACAAAAACATGCAGAAATCGAAACTAATGCATCGCAGACATAGTGAGATAGAAGATGGTGCTTTGGCACCAGATGACACCCGAGCTAAACTCTACGTTGCAGTGCAGCCGTCAAAATGTTATGATTTTGTACATCAAACCCTCGATAATCCGATAATCTGTATGGCTTAATTTACTGTGAATTAATTCATTTGATCTGAAAGTCCATTGCTGTCTAGGTCTACCAATACGTCTTTTTCCTATTTCAACGGGTTCTGCGCTGTCTGGTTGGTATGTAACCTGCCTTAAGGGGTCACTGTTTGGCGACCGAAGGATGTGCCCAGCGAGTTTAATTCTTCTCTCATCAAGTAGTTCAGTGAATGGTTTGACACAGCCATTACCTGATGGGAATGCGATGTCCGAAGCTGTTTGATAAACTCGCTGGTTGGTATTCTGCCTGTTTACATACGTTGTTTGCATTCGCAGGATTTTTCTGAGGCCTCGCAATTGAAACGCATCCAGTTTCTTTCGTAAAGTACCCGTAAGATGTACTGTTTCCAAACTGTATAACAACTTGCTTCTGATTACTGCGTCATAGATCAACAGCTTCCATTTGGGATTAGAGCTGTGGTCATTCCATAGTGAATCAAGTCTCAGCCAAGTCCTCTTGGTGTCTTGGATGCGTTGCGAAACTTCACGCGCTATGTTCACTGCGTAATTCAAATTATTGCCCAAGTAAGTTGCATCATGAGTTTTATTGAGGGGGGTTCCGTCACGAAAATGAATAATCGCTTCATGGTACATGTGAATGGAATGGCTGTTTATTTTTAATTGCAAAAGCTTAGGTAGCTCCAACCCAAGCAGCTCCCAACCACACGAAGTGCTGGGATGCAACAGCGACAGTCGCCTTTTCAGGTCTGCATAGCTAGTAGAGGTCTCGCCCGCCCTGGGCCGATAGCATCGGCTGACGCACGTTGAAAAGGAAACATGGGAAAAGGTGCAAGGCATGCAACTTCACACGGAGGGAAATTCTTAGCCTTACGTGAACTGCATACCCGGTGGCGCATTCACCACACGCACCCCATGTTCATCAAAGAACTGCATGACGTCTTCGCCTGGAACCACTAAATCCTGCCGTGAGCAGACAGCGCACGGTTGGAAAATCCTAATCCCTCGCCCACTATTGTACAGCTCATCGCATTCATCATCGCGATGCCAGACTGAGCTTCCACCCTGGATGTGGATCTCTTTTTTTTTCCTCCGGTTTGGCCGATCGCACTAGGCTCGGTCCTTACAATTGCGTAAGCAGTGAAAAGCAGAAATGTACAAGGACACGTGTGGTCCAAGAACTTGGCAAATCATCACGAAACCAAAGACAAACAAACCACCACAACCAAAAACGACCCGCAAATCCCCCAGCCAGATTTACGTTTCGCCTCAAATCAAGACAGCGAAGCAACAAAGAACGGGGCAGGGCCCAACAAAACAAAAAACACATTCAGATTTGCCTTAGATACAGTGACCTTAGCCACCGTATCATCCTCAAAAACATGCAAACTAATTATCCATTGCGGCAGTGCGTGAAATATAGTACATGATCGCCCAGAATGTCTCACCTGAGAACAGATTAGAGAATCCAGTGTTGCAGGCAGACTGGTGTGTAGCACGACAGAGGCCGCTTGTATGGACATCTTGTCAATGTCAGCTCCCGCATCGCTGCTGTTCATCCTGCATCGTTCAGCGTACGCAAGTAAGTCTGTTCCAGTAAAGATACACCGCCGCAAGGAATTGTGATCTGCACCCTGGATGTACATCTCATCACCAAGCAGGCATCGACGAACATGCTGTCGCACATCCATTTGAACTTGGTATCCACCCAAGTCTTGCGTCGCCAGCGCCAAAGCTCCTTGAAGTTCTTGGGCTGCAGCACGCTGTTCCACGAAAGCTCTTTTTTTCCTCGAGTTTGGCCGATGTCGCACTAAAGGCTCGGTTCTTGTGAGCGTAAGCATGAAAAGAATTTGTGCAGGGACATCAGTCCATTGGATTAGGCAAATCGATCAAACCAACACGCAACCACAAAAAACAACAACAAACTAAAAGCGATGACCCGCAAATCTTCCAGCCAGACTTGCGTTTCGCCAGCGGAAAAACAAAGCAAACAGCAAAACTAAACCAAAAAAGCAGAACGGGCCAGAGCCCAAACAAAACACCCACGTAATCGATTTGCCACAAGATGCACTACTTTCCACTACATTATTCGCAAAGCTTGCTGAATGAATTAATATCAGGCTTCAAGCAAGCATGAAGGCACGAGCAGGTATATTACCTCTTGCATGTGCCGAGCCATACAAAAAAGGGGCAGTTAAGCCTCTCTCAGCATTCTCTCAGATTATCTCGTCAGACAGCGTTCTCTCAGTCAGCTCGTCAGACCTCCATAGACAGAGTCGTTACCATGAAAGGAAAGCGCCAGAACTCTTCCAAGAGGGGTGGACAGTGATGGCGTGCGTGAAGCGATATAGGCCAGGAACAAGCTTCAAAAATACCACCGCCGCAGTACCAATGCAGTATTCGCAGAGCAGAGAAAAATGCTAAACAAATCATTGTATTCGTGAATTTGAATGCAGAGCTCCACAATGCCAATGCTGTTTTGGGCAGTGTAGCTCTTCTCGGTGCAGGTTCGCAAAGCCAAAAACTACAGAACTGTTCAGGACACTAGGGAGGCCCACTGGAGTGAAGCCACTTTGCAGCTCAGTTTGCGGTTCCAGAAATAGGACCGGCTAAAACAAGTTTGTTTGCAAAAAGATCGTGCGGCAGTCTTGTAGTTCACGGGGCGCTGATGCATGTCCACACGCATGTCGTTTAGAGTTCGTCAGGTGGACAGTTGAGTAGGTGAAGCCAGGCAGGTTGGTAGTCATCGCATTTCAGCCTGGCATCACCCAGTGATCCATGCCCCCCCATGCCAGTTCACCTTGAGTGGGCATCCTATCCTTGGGAATCTGTGTTGGGGTGATTTTGGGGACGACTGTAGTCTGTTATGTGTGAGGCCGTGCTGT